TGGAAATATTCGGATACGGGGGCGGGGGTCGCTGGCGCAGGAGTTAGAGGGGAAAATGGATGGGGATAAAGGTCGAGGGCAGTAGTTCTAGCGGAGGGGGATAAAGACCCAGGGCCGAGGGGTGGCGGGAGCGGGATGCCACTTCAGTCCCAACCCGCAGCGGGACCAGCTAGGTTCCCAGACGCGTCGGCAGCGGGCCCAGCTCATCAACATGCAGGCACCGCCCCCTTATCTGCATAGGGCCGCCCGCCTCCCCCGAGAACTGCCGCTTATCTGCATAAGCCCCGCCTGCTGGGCGCTCAGCCGCATGAATATGCTGTGTGCTCAGAGGAGCTGGAGAGCGCACTTAAAAGGGTAGTTCTGGAACCCGAAGCATGTCAGCCTTCCGCCTGCGTAGCGGTTCTCAGTAGGGAGGAATTTTGTTCCTCAGGGACTTATGGCAAGGTTTGAACACACATTTTTAATTGTCATGACTGGGAATGAAAAGGATGTGCTATCCCCACCTAGTGAGTGATGCCCAGGAATGCTGCTCAAGTCCTATAAAGCACAGGATGGCCCCCGTAACAAAGAATTATCCTCAATAGCCATGCTAACAAGAAACTCTGCAGCAGGCTTCAGTGGTGTGTGGCCACTCCTAGCTCCTGTCTTCATGAACAGGGCAGGACTGGAAAGGCCCGCCCAAACCGACACACTCAGACAGGAAAGGTGACAAAAATTTATTCCGTGCTTCTCGCAGCATCAAGTAGGGGGAAAAACTGATTATAGCGCCTGGTTTAGAGGTGTAGAGGCTCCTGTGGGCTTCTTTGGCAACCCATGGGACACCAGGATGAGCCTTAAGGTTGTTGCCCTGGAAGAGGGGGTAGATGGAATGGGGGCCCTAGGCTGCCAAAGTGAGGAAGGGCCCCAAGCAGGCACAGATCCTCCTGAGGGATGAGGCAAGATGTTTCAGCCAGCCCTGGCAGAAAAGAAGGGCAGAGAGCGGACGTAGGAGTCCAGTCTGGAGCGGAAGAGTTCACTCTGCACAGTTTGCCCCAGCGGGCACAGGGGATTCTTCACCACAAGCTCCACGTACAGCTAGAGAGAAAGAGGTTGTCAGAACCAGGCTTGGACGTTCTCCTTTCAACCTCAAGACTAGTACATCTTAGGGGAGAGGGTGGGGTGAATGCCCACAGAACAAGGGTTGGGAGGCAGGTTTTCCCTGAAGAGAGACGTAGTGGGAGTGTTTAAGTACGGAAAGGCCCTGGAGAAAACTTACGGTTCAACAGAGATATAAGATAGTCAAATTAGGGAAGGGAACTCAGGGAGTCTCAGGGCTCTGACTGTGGCCATGGCTGTTAAGGAATCTGGGGGAAGGGTCCCTAGGGCTGTCACTGACCGCACTGTAGATGTGGTGTAGCACATCCCGGATGGGTCCCACGCCCAAGTCAGTATTCATGACAACCTTGATCCCAGTTGGTGTTTCATAGTAATGGAGTTTGTAACGGCTAGTTTGGAAAGCCAAGAAGCCGTCCTTCCTGCAGAGATGGGGAAGGTGTTAAAGAGTGGGAGCAGAATTTCCCAAAGGAATATTTCCCCTTAAAGTTCACTCCATCTGAACATATCTTTTGTACCAGTGTGGTTGAATAAAGACACCTCCATCCTCATCCCTCAATTTAGCCCCTGACCCCAACCTCTCTACTTTCAGACCTTCCCCACCACTGCTCCTGCCAGCTCCAGCACTCTCATTTCAGACTCAGTTCCCTCCTTAAGACCCTTCTCCTCACTGAGGGCCAATGTTCCTTCCATTCCAGGAAGATTCCCCAACCCCCAATTCCCAAGGCTAGTCCTCCTTCTTTCAGTATTTCTCTGACTTTGCATACATGTCTAGCGGGGACATCTTGCTGACAAACGAGCGGATAGAGAACAGCATCCCGTACATCAGCTTGTATTCCTGGAGAGAGAAGGGCACAGTTAGCTTTCGGTTGTTCAGAGAGACCAGAGGGAGCAGGAACGAGCCGGGGCACGGAGAGGAGGGATTGGGCTGGGACTATGTGTGTTTGGAGATGCGAAGTCACCGGGGTTGTACCGGGGCCCTCCCGTCACCTCCTCCTTGGGGATCCCTGCTTGCTTCTTGCGGTGCCATTCGCTGTAATGCAGACACACTCCATTCCGGTCAAACAGGTACAGGTTGTGGACAGTCATCTGCAGGTCAGGGAATGTCTTGTTCCAGGACGGCCCCACTCCGTGGGCTGGGATTCTCGGCCCCTACTGCCTCCAATCCCTCCTACCAGGAGGGGACCCCACCCCCAGGCCTACCGGAACTGCTCCGAGAACTTGTCACGGGCGACTTCCGGTTTCCGTAAAGCCCCGCCCCACCAGGTCTTCGTGATACAAAGGCAGGGCATTAACTCCGCCCCAGTACCTCCCGTCAGACCCCACCTTTCTCCCTTAGCCAATCCGTGGCCGCCGGGGCCGCGCACGCGCTCCCGGCTCCTGGGCTCCAGAGAGAGGAACGACTCGGGGTGTGGTGTCGCGGGCGGGTGACGTCACCAAAGTGAGGGAGGCGGGGCTGCAGGCGGTGGGCGGGAGGCTGCCAACGGTTTTGAGTGTTGAGGACCGCGCGAAAGGAGGGGTCTTGGTCTTTCCTGGCCGGGGATCGGAGTTGGGGGGCCCGTCCTTTGTCTGCACCTTGGGAAATTGGGGACTGAGGACTGTAGGTGTGGAGAGTAGCCAGAATGGGATGGTCGGGATAGAGGATTTCAGGCTAGGCTTGAGAGTGGCGTGCATTTTAGGGGCGTCTGAGCGCGTGACTGAGGGTTCAGAGATTTCTTTTGGGTGGGAGGGAGGGAGGCATTCTGGAGAGCTCGGCTATGGCTTTCTTGTGAGGAGGGGACAGAAGGGCTATACAAAGAAGTTGAGGCCGGTAGAACGAGTAAAGTGGGCGAGAAGGGCGGGGGCGGGCGTGAGGTTCTTGCCTCAAGACAACAAGGCACAAAGGAGGACGCTGAACAGGAATTGAGTCCATCTTTGATTTGGGGCTGTTTCAGTTTGCACATGCTGCGTGTGAGAACTTAAGAGCTCAGGGATAAGCCTGTGCCGAAGTTGATCTGCAGCTTCCAGCCTCTTCCGTTGGAAGGAGGAGCTGCAGTGGTGCTGCTGCCTCACTATGTCCATACCCACTTTGCCCTGCACCCTTCTTTTCCACAGTTCCCAGGAGCTGGGGAAAGGAATGCTTTTGCTCTCTCCATGGCCTCTGGAATCGGTGGAAAATTTTTTTCTCACCGGATAATCTTGATAACCTTATTCAAGGATCCTTGGTGTGGAGTCTTCCTCCCTTCTCCCAAATCTTGCTTCTCTGCAAACCTCCCCCTGGACTCTCCTAAAGCAGAGCTAGAAGTTCCCAGCCTTCTGTTGCCTCCAGTTGTGTCTTCCCTATCCTCATGGCGGCATCAACCACCAGCCCCAGTTCACCTCTCCGGCCGGAGGATCTCTTGAGTGATTCATCAGAACCCCCTGGGCTGAGCCAAGTGTCCTCAGAGGTGACCTCCCAGCTCTATGCTTCTTTGCGCCTCAGCCGTCAGGCAGAGGCCACAGCCCGGGCTCAGCTGTATTTACCAGCCACCTCCCCACCTGATCATGAGGTGTTGGACGGCTTGGCCCAAGAGTTGAGTCGCAGCTTGTCATTGGGATTGGAGAACAATTTGAAGAAAAAGGTGAGGGAAGTGTGTCTTGGGGGCCTCTAGAGTACTAGACATCAGGGTCTGGGGACTTAAGAGTATTGAAAAAAAAAAAAGATTTGCTGAGACTTGATTTCAGATTTTTTTTAACTACCTAGACAGTCATGCTTATTTCTGAGAGCAAGTGTTTATGAGAGAGAGTGACCTGGGACACCATAATTTGGAAACGTGAAATGTTCTACTGTTTGTTGTCAGAGATCCCTGCACTGTAGGGGAGCTTGGTATGGCTGAGGCTGGACCTGGGTGCTGGGAGTTGGGAGAGGTTTCTTGGCTTCAAGAGGGAACTAGAGACTTAATGATAGTTGCAAAGTATGCTAAGATCCTTCCAGGTCAACTCTTTGGATTGTGTAGTTCAGAATTTGGCATGAAATCATTGGAACATAGTCTACTCAATTAGAGATGGATGATACAGAGAAGATAGTGTTGGAAAGAAAAGGTGCCAGAATCCATTTACAGCCTCGTTAGGTTTTCCAGAGTTGGAAAACTGAAAATTATGAGTTACAAAGACTTTAGGCCGGGTATCTGCTCCTCTGCTGGCAAGAATCCCAACCACTCTTGTTTGAGACCTGCCCATTTTAGTCACTAATACTTTTCTGGCTCCTCTAGGAATTTGGATTTCTGACTTAAGGTTAAGACATCTCTTACTGCGTCTGTTTTGTTTTTCTTGCTTTCCCAGGTACTAGGGTAAAAATTCCACCCTGGTAGTAGTTGTGGTAGACGATAGAGTGTACAGATTACAGGTGATTCCTGTGTGGCTTTTTCTCTAGGATGGTTCTAAGCATATCTTTGAGATGGAAAGTGTTCGGGGTCAACTCCAGACCATGCTCCAAACCTCACGTGATGCGGCCTGTCGTGAGTAAACACTCCCCTAGATCTCTGAAGGAGAACCTAGCCTTAAAGGGCAGGAGAAAGTGGAGAGAGGAAGCAGAGGGGAAAACCCAAACATCCGAGATAGACATTTCAGGAGAAAAGGCTTCCATTCTTTGGGAGAGAGTTGAGGGGAGTAGAAAGGAAGGCCCTTACCTCTCTCCTCCTTCAAGTGGTCCTTGTTCCTGTCCTTGCCTGATTCTGGCTGTGGGGTCTCTGTGGCTTCCTGCAGGAGATCCCCCCACTCCAGGTGGTGGCTCAGAGAGACGGGAAGAGGACTCCTTTGACAGTGACAGCACTGGCACCTTGCTCAAGTGAGTTCTCCTAGCTTTCTTGCTTTCTTGGAAATCCGAGTGTTCTCTTCCTTAGTTCTATTACTGCGTTTGTACCGCTTAGGGAACTAAGAAGCCTGTCATTTAGCATTCATTTTTTCCCCCTTAGTTTTGCCAGAGAGCGTGTGTGCTTACCAGCAAAGACAGAGAGAAAGTAAGAAATTATCCACAGAGAATGGTTGTGCTGCAATCCCTTTTTCTCCATTTCTCCTTCCTATCGGGATTTTGGGAAGGCACGCATACACGTGTGCCCAGCATGTTTTTCGAGTTGCTGGGTCTGGGACTCGAACTGTGTGGGATCCAGCCACCTTAACCCTCACTCCATTGGCTGGCCCAGCTTTCAGTTTCATCCTTTACCTCCTTTCTTCTACCCCTTTTACTCCTTCAGGAACACGGGCATCTGCTGCCAGTGCCTGTCTCTCAAACCCCAGTCCTCCTTTCCCTAGAAGAGTTTGTTTCCACTGAAACCTTTACTGTAAGCAGTGTGGTATAGAGGAAGGAGCTCTATAGAGGGCATCACAGACCGGTGTGCTGTTTATGGATTGGCTCTGTGACAATCTACAATAGCTTTGTGACTTTGAGACAGTCTCTTGCCCTGCCGGGTCTCTATTTTCTCATTTGTAAAGTACCACAATTGTACTACTAGTAGCTCTCAGGAGACTTCGCAGCCCTAACGGCTTCCTAATTTGTCCAGCACCAGACCCCTGCAGGACTTATCTCCATCTAGTTCGGCCCAAGCACTGGAGGAGTTGTTTCCCCGCTACACCAGCCTTCGGCCAGGGCCACCACTCCATCCCCCGGATCTTCCAGGACTGAGAGAGGCACTGGATGCAGAGCATACCCGCCGTAAGGTAAGATGCAAGGGGTTCCTTTGGAACTCAGCAAAGGTTAGACATAGGACACTCAGTGCTGCAAAGGGGTGAGGGCTAAGAGCCTGATAGCAGGGACTTTGCTCAAATGTTTCTTCAGGGAGGCCTCTTTGACCGTCCTATCTAATATGACCCGTCCTCCCCTCCAGGTGTCAGCCGGATTGCTGTCATTTCCTTCATATAGCTTATCACTCCGATCTCTTACTTGTTTTCCCCCTCTCAAATCTAAACTCTGAGAGGGTCAGTGCCTTGTCTGTTCAGGGCCGGCTTCCTAAGGTCTTGACAACACCTCACACCTAGAACCGCTCCATATATGATGGCCGACTACACACACACTTTGCTAGCTTGTGCAAAGCCAGCTGCAGGTGATACAGTAAGCTTTGTCTCCGCGAGTCTTGGCCTTAATGACTGAAGAAACAGAGATGGGCAAAGTAGAGCAAAAATCAAAGTCATTAATTGTCATTTTTGGAAACTTCTATTCCTTCCTTCTTTTCTTTTTTAAAAAAATTATTTAGTTTTTAACTTTATTTATTTTAATTTGACCAGACAGGGACAGAGTCAGAGAGAGGGGGGAAGTGAGAAAGCAAGCTGTCAGGTCCAGGACTTGAACCACAGTTGGCCATGTGGGAGTCTAGTGCCCTTAACCACCACGCCACCTGCCGGCCCCACTTCTCTTCCTCTATTTCAAACTACTTGGGCAGTTTGAATGAAATGCTTTGCCCTTTATTCTTGCTTATATGCCATTTATTGTTTATTTATTTTTATTTGCCAGAGGGTGTGTATGCTCACCAGAGACAGAGAATGGGAGAGAGGGAGAGAGCACCCTCCATGGGGTGTGGTCACATTGTAACCCCTTCTCTTACATTTCTCTGTCCTGTCAGGATTTTGGGCATACATGCACACATGTCCAGTGTGTTTTTCAAGCTCTGCAGGCTGGGACTTGAACCACATGGTTAGCCTTGTGGGAGCCAGCTCCCTTAACCACTAGGCTATGAGGCCAGTTTAGTCATTGTGTCCACTGAGCTTCTTAAGGCTGGAATAACTTCCTGGACTTTGCAATGTGGGCTGCTGTAACTCTGCCAAAAGGTTTATTGGAATTTTTCCCAAGAGATCCAGGAGAGATGGGGCCAGCAGCTGGTGTGGTAGTTAAGGTGCTGGACTCCCACATGGCCAACCACAGTTCGAGTCCCAGACCTGGTGGCATGCTTTCTCACTTTTCCTCTCTCTCTCTCTCATCAAATTAAAATAATAATAATAATAAATAATAATAAATAAGATAAAGTAATTCTTTTAAAGAGAAAGAGAGCTCCAGGAGAGAAAAAACCTAGAAGGTAGAGGAAGGTGTTGGAGGTCTTGGGTCTCAAGGTTCTTGCTCCAGAATTCCTGATTCTCCTTCTCTAAACTGGGTCTGTTCTTGGGACTCATGCTTCCTGCCTCCAGCTCACTTCTCTCTAGAGGAGCTGGCAAGTTTGTGCTGTGGTGGACTAAGGCTGGGCAATACCCATACTCCTCACCCTTCTTTTTTGTTTGCTTGTTTGTTTTATTTTACTACCTTTGTTTTCCAGGTTTTTGCCATGGGGTGCTCACTGGAGAAAGACAGAGAGGAGCAGAGAGTGGGAAAGTGAGAGATCACCCCCCAGTAGGAATTGCCATGCCACAATCCCTTCTCCACTCTTCTCCTGGGATTTTGAGCATGCACACATTCATACCTGGCATGCTTTTCAGGCTGGTGGGTCTAGTACTCAAACCACCATGTGGGATCCAGTGCTTTAACCACCATGCCACCTGCCGGCCCCTCCCCCTTCTTTTCAGCATTGTGAGCGCCATATTCAGAGCCTGCAGACCCGAGTGCTAGAGTTACAGCAGCAGCTGGCCGTGGCTGTGGCTGCTGACCGCAAGAAAGATATCATGATTGAACAGCTGGACAAGGTGCCAGGGTACAAAATGTGGGTGGGTCTGTCCGTGGAGAGCATTTGGGATAGTAAATCAGGGAGTGGCCAACCTGTTTCTTTTGTGCATGTCAAGAGGGGCAGGTTTACTGACTGTTGGCAGAAGGTAGCTGTGGACCCTGCCCTTGTGAGTACAAAGGGGGTAGGAAGGTTATTTTGAAATCCCACCTTGTCTTTCCCAAGACCCTGGCCCGTGTGGTGGAGGGCTGGAATCGGCATGAAGCTGAGCGGACAGAGGTGCTCCGGGGACTTCAGGAGGAACGCCAGGCAGCAGAACTTACTAGAAGCAAGCAGCAGGAGGTGGGTGACCTGCCTCAGGTGGCTTTAGAACCTAAGTCACAGATCTGTAGGTGGAAGGGGCAGAAGAAATAGCTCTAGAATGAGGGTTCCCAACACATTGCCCTCGTTCTTGCAGTAGCTGTCCTGACAGCTCTCCTTGGGCCCTTTCTTCTCCCTCCACGGTTTCTGCTGTCAGTCAAACTCGTATTGTCGATGTCTTCCCAGTTTTCTCCACACCGTGCATTCCTCCCTCGCCCCCCAGTCATTTAACTCTGAAGTTTCAGTTGACATTGTTGATGCTCTCTGAAGCATAGCATGCAACTGCTCTCCGTTCCTCTGTGCTGTGTTCCTCTCTCCCTGAAGACAGTAGCCCGCCTGGAGCAAAGCCTTTCTGAGGCGATGGAGGCCCTGAATCGTGAGCAGGAAAGTGCCAGACTGCAGCAGCGGGAAAGAGAGACGCTGGTGAGAGGGCCATGCGGGGTTAATTCCACTGGAGGCTGTTGATTACTTCTAGAGCATCGTAAGCCCTCGGAGGATTGTGGGAGTTTAGTATTTGAGTTGTGCCAGGTTAGTGTTTCCCAAAGCGTGTTCCTCAGATTGTTAGTTCCGCTAGATACGCTACAAAAAAAGGTTCTGCCACCAAGTGCTTTTGAGAGACTCTGCAAATTGTATCCTCATCAGGCTAGTAAGGTCATATAGGAAATTATTTTAAAATACAGATTTCTGGGACTCATCCCCAGAGGTTTTGATTCTGTACACGTATAGTAGGGTTGGATAATTCAAACAGGTTCAGGAATGTCTCTGATGGTGTTCAGCCAGGGTTGGGGACTCTGGTCTGGGGCATGGCAACTCTGGTTTGGGATGAGACTCAGGTTGCATAGAGCTCGATGACAAGCTGATGACAGCGTGAGTTAGCAGCCAGCTCTGGAACTTACTGCACACATGATGCGTGCTTGCTGCACCTGGCAGTGCCCGTGCTGGTTGCTGCTTGGCTAGTTCATGATTGTAGCTGGATTTTTCTAGTCCAGGAGGAATTGATACTGATGATGACAGTGTTGGCTGTTGTCTGTTGGGTACTTACCATGTGCCAGATACTGTGCTAAACGCTTCCCATGCCCTTTTTACTTCAGTCCTCATAAGGGAGACCTTGCTATTGCCTCCATTCTGCAGATGAGGAGGTGTGTCTGCAGACACAGAGTAAGTGACAGAACTAGGACTCACACTGACACTCAGACCAACTCTGGAACTGCACTCTGACTACTGCATTATAATCCTGTAAGCTTGTCAGCTATTAAATTTTTTGTTTAGAGAAAGATTTCTGCTATAGGGTACATGTACTCTCTGGAGAGACAGAGAAAGAGAAAGCAAGGAATCACTCTCTGGGGGCATGGCCACGCCACAATCCCTCACCTCCACTTTCTTCCTGGGATCTTGGGCAGACATGCACACGCACTCAGTGTGTTTCAGCCGCTGAGTCTGAGACTCAAACCATGGTCGGCTACGTGGAAGTCCAGCACCTTCACCGCTATGCCACCTGATGGACCCAACTATTACTTTTTCTTTTTACACCTATTGCTTTTTTTCTGTAATGAGACTTTTTTTGCTCTAGGGTGTGTGTATTTACCAGAGAGACAGAGAGACATGAAAGTGAGAAGTCACCCACAAGGGGGGATGGCCATGCCACAATCCCTTCTCCTCTTGGGATTTTGGGCATGTGTGTGCATGCACCCAGTGTGAGGTTTAAGCCTCTGGGTCTAGGACTCAAACCACAGTCGACTACTTACGAGTCCAGTAACATAGCCATTACACCATCTGCTGGTTCCTTTTTATATTTTTAGAGAGATTTTTGCAATAGGGTGCATACGCTCGCCAGAGAGACAGAAAGCAAGAAATCACCCCCTAGGGGTGATGGCCATACCGCAATCCCTTCTCTTCATTCTCTTGGGATTTTGGGCATGCACACACATGTGCCCAGCCTGAGATGTTTTTCTTTTTAAGAGTTATTTCTTTAATTGTATTTATTTATATTTATTTATTTAAATTTTACCAGAGGAGAGACAAAGAGACAGAGAGAGAGAGAAGTGAGAAAGCAATCTGCTAGGTCTGGGACTCGAACCTCAGTTGACCATGTGGAATCCAGTACCTAAACCATCTGCTGCCCCCTCCCCACATTAGTTTTAAGCCACTGGATCCGGGACTTGAACCGTGGTTGACTATGTGAGAGTCCAGTGATGCCATTTGCTAGTCCCCCAACTCTTACATTAAAAAAAAAAAAAAACTTATTTATTTAACTTTGTTTATTATAATTATTTTTTAATTTGACCAGAGCGACAGAAGAGAAGAGAGGGAAAGTGAGAAAGCAAGCTGCCAGATCCAGGACTCAAACATTGTTGGCTATGTGGGAATCCAGCACCTTAAACACCATGCCACATGCTGACCCCAACTATTACATATTTAATGGGCATCATTCTTCTTCTTTTTGTTAAAATTATTTATCTAATTTTATTTATTATTATTCTTCAGTTTGACCAGAGAGAGACAGAGAGAGGGAAGGAGAGTGGATGAGAAAGCAAGCCTTCAGGTCTGGGGCTTGAAACAAGGTTGACCATGTGGGAGTCCAGTGCCATTAACTACCATGCTACCTGCCAGCCCCAGTCGGCATCATTCTTAGCAGGCAGGTTGTTTGGAGCTGTAGACTTCTGATCTCTCCAGGGCCTCCTAAGCATCTTGGTTTTCTCCTGGGACTATAGGAAGAAGAAAGGCAAGCTTTGACCTTGAGTTTGGAGGTAGAACAGCAGAGGTGCCACACCCTGCAGGAAGAACGGGATGAGGCTCGGGCAGGGCAACTCAGTGACCGTCGACAGTTGGAGACCCTGCAGGTGGCCCTAGAAGAGGAGCGGCGGTCCTGGGCCCAGCAGGAGCACCAGCTGAAGGAACGCTACCAGGCGCTGCAGGAGGAGAGCCAGGCTCAACTGGAAAAGGAGAAAGTAAAAGCAGCACTTAGGAGAGCTGGGGAGTGGTGATCAGGTGAAGGGCAAAATAACTGAGTGGGATGGGCTGTCAGAAGATAGGTATATATATGAGAGTAACCTCAGACAGTTTGTGGGAAAGTAGAATTTCAAGTACAAGTTTTATTTTGGTGCTAACATTTTTGAAATCCATGCATATTTTGTTTGTTGGCCAGAGGGCACAGTGTGCTCCTTTCTTGCCAGAGGGGGGCGTGGTCACAGCACACACCCTTCTCCATTTCTCCATCCCGTCGAGATTTTGACACACATGCATACATGTTAGGTGTGTATTTCAGGGCACTGGGTCAAACCATGCAATTGATTGTGTGGGATCTGACTCCCTTAACTATCAGGCCATGGAGCCAGCCCTGTTTTAGTTTTAAGTGTTTTTTTAAGAGAGATTTTGCTACAGGGTTTGTGCGCTTGCTAGAGACGGAGAGAGACGAGAAGCAAGAAGTCACTCCCCAGGGAGGATAGCCATACTGCAGTCCCTTTTCTATTCTCTCTCGGGATTCTGGACACACACACATACCTGTTGGTGTGAGTTTTAAGCTGCTGGGTTCGAGACTTGAACCACAGTTGACTATGTGAGACTCCAGTGACGCGAGCCTTATGCCATCTGCTGGTCCCTGTTTTAGGTTTATTTTATTCATGAGAAATAGGGTGTACCTGCACATGAGAGTGAAAGATAAGGCACCCCATTAAGGTCTCGTCACCGCATTGCAGTCTCCTTCTCTCAGCTCTAGCTCTTCAGTCTGGGGCACACACACACCCAGCAGGTTTCGTGTTCACTAGGGATCTGAACCAGCAGTTGACCATGTAACCTCCAGCACTGCAATACTGCCAAGGCCAAGCTAGTCTTTTCTCATTTGCATTTTTCATGAACTTTTTGAAGATCCCTCCTATGGGACAGGGATGGAAAGTGGAGAGCTATATGTGGTAAGCACGGCCGACAGTATAAACCCAGCAGAAAGAGCTGGAGACATCAAATACATGGAAGGGCCAAGTGAGATTAACCAGGGATGGGGAAACAGGACAAATGGGAGGAGAGGGAAAGGAAGCTTGGGTTTGAGGGTATAGACAGATGAATTGGGGGTATTTAAGTTGATTTTCCTTTCTTAGGGAAACAGCTGGAGGGAGGCGCAGGCAGCCCAGGAGGCCCAGCAGCAGTTGGCATTGGTGCAGTCTGAGGTGCAGCGATTGGAAGGAGAGCTGGACACGGCCCGGAGAGAGCGAGATGCCCTGCAACTGGAGATGAGCTTGGTACAGGTCAGGACAGGGTTCTTTTTTTTTTTGGAGAGGTTTTTGCTATAGGGTGCGTGCACTCGCCAGACAGACAGAGACAGAGAGATAGAAAGCGAGAAATCACCCCCCGGCAGGGATGGCCACGCCGCAATCCCTTCTCCTCCATTCTCCTCTCGGGATCTTGAGAAAGCAAGGAATCACTCTCTGGGGGCATGGCCACGCCACAATCCCTCACCTCCACTCTCTTCCTGGGATCTTGGGCAGACATGCACACGCACTCAGTGTGTTTCAGCCGCTGAGTCTGAGACTCAAACCATGGTCGGCTACGTGGAAGTCCAGCACCTTCACCGCTATGCCACCTGATGGACCCAACTATTACTTTTTCTTTTTACACCTATTGCTTTTTTTCTGTAATGAGACTTTTTTTGCTCTAGGGTGTGTGTATTTACCAGAGAGACAGAGAGACATGAAAGTGAGAAGTCACCCACAAGGGGGGATGGCCATGCCACAATCCCTTCTCCTCTTGGGATTTTGGGCATGTGTGTGCATGCACCCAGTGTGAGGTTTAAGCCTCTGGGTCTAGGACTCAAACCACAGTCGACTACTTACGAGTCCAGTAACATAGCCATTACACCATCTGCTGGTTCCTTTTTATATTTTTAGAGAGATTTTTGCAATAGGGTGCATACGCTCGCCAGAGAGACAGAAAGCAAGAAATCACCCCCTAGGGGTGATGGCCATACCGCAATCCCTTCTCTTCATTCTCTTGGGATTTTGGGCATGCACACACATGTGCCCAGCCTGAGATGTTTTTCTTTTTAAGAGTTATTTCTTTAATTGTATTTATTTATATTTATTTATTTAAATTTTACCAGAGGAGAGACAAAGAGACAGAGAGAGAGAGAAGTGAGAAAGCAATCTGCTAGGTCTGGGACTCGAACCTCAGTTGACCATGTGGAATCCAGTACCTAAACCATCTGCTGCCCCCTCCCCACATTAGTTTTAAGCCACTGGATCCGGGACTTGAACCGTGGTTGACTATGTGAGAGTCCAGTGATGCCATTTGCTAGTCCCCCAACTCTTACATTAAAAAAAAAAAAAAACTTATTTATTTAACTTTGTTTATTATAATTATTTTTTAATTTGACCAGAGCGACAGAAGAGAAGAGAGGGAAAGTGAGAAAGCAAGCTGCCAGATCCAGGACTCAAACATTGTTGGCTATGTGGGAATCCAGCACCTTAAACACCATGCCACATGCTGACCCCAACTATTACATATTTAATGGGCATCATTCTTCTTCTTTTTGTTAAAATTATTTATCTAATTTTATTTATTATTATTCTTCAGTTTGACCAGAGAGAGACAGAGAGAGGGAAGGAGAGTGGATGAGAAAGCAAGCCTTCAGGTCTGGGGCTTGAAACAAGGTTGACCATGTGGGAGTCCAGTGCCATTAACTACCATGCTACCTGCCAGCCCCAGTCGGCATCATTCTTAGCAGGCAGGTTGTTTGGAGCTGTAGACTTCTGATCTCTCCAGGGCCTCCTAAGCATCTTGGTTTTCTCCTGGGACTATAGGAAGAAGAAAGGCAAGCTTTGACCTTGAGTTTGGAGGTAGAACAGCAGAGGTGCCACACCCTGCAGGAAGAACGGGATGAGGCTCGGGCAGGGCAACTCAGTGACCGTCGACAGTTGGAGACCCTGCAGGTGGCCCTAGAAGAGGAGCGGCGGTCCTGGGCCCAGCAGGAGCACCAGCTGAAGGAACGCTACCAGGCGCTGCAGGAGGAGAGCCAGGCTCAACTGGAAAAGGAGAAAGTAAAAGCAGCACTTAGGAGAGCTGGGGAGTGGTGATCAGGTGAAGGGCAAAATAACTGAGTGGGATGGGCTGTCAGAAGATAGGTATATATATGAGAGTAACCTCAGACAGTTTGTGGGAAAGTAGAATTTCAAGTACAAGTTTTATTTTGGTGCTAACATTTTTGAAATCCATGCATATTTTGTTTGTTGGCCAGAGGGCACAGTGTGCTCCTTTCTTGCCAGAGGGGGGCGTGGTCACAGCACACACCCTTCTCCATTTCTCCATCCCGTCGAGATTTTGACACACATGCATACATGTTAGGTGTGTATTTCAGGGCACTGGGTCAAACCATGCAATTGATTGTGTGGGATCTGACTCCCTTAACTATCAGGCCATGGAGCCAGCCCTGTTTTAGTTTTAAGTGTTTTTTTAAGAGAGATTTTGCTACAGGGTTTGTGCGCTTGCTAGAGACGGAGAGAGACGAGAAGCAAGAAGTCACTCCCCAGGGAGGATAGCCATACTGCAGTCCCTTTTCTATTCTCTCTCGGGATTCTGGACACACACACATACCTGTTGGTGTGAGTTTTAAGCTGCTGGGTTCGAGACTTGAACCACAGTTGACTATGTGAGACTCCAGTGACGCGAGCCTTATGCCATCTGCTGGTCCCTGTTTTAGGTTTATTTTATTCATGAGAAATAGGGTGTACCTGCACATGAGAGTGAAAGATAAGGCACCCCATTAAGGTCTCGTCACCGCATTGCAGTCTCCTTCTCTCAGCTCTAGCTCTTCAGTCTGGGGCACACACACACCCAGCAGGTTTCGTGTTCACTAGGGATCTGAACCAGCAGTTGACCATGTAACCTCCAGCACTGCAATACTGCCAAGGCCAAGCTAGTCTTTTCTCATTTGCATTTTTCATGAACTTTTTGAAGATCCCTCCTATGGGACAGGGATGGAAAGTGGAGAGCTATATGTGGTAAGCACGGCCGACAGTATAAACCCAGCAGAAAGAGCCGGAGACATCAAATACATGGAAGGGCCAAGTGAGATTAACCAGGGATGGGGAAACAGGACAAATGGGAGGAGAGGGAAAGGAAGCTTGGGTTTGAGGGTATAGACAGATGAATTGGGGGTATTTAAGTTGATTTTCCTTTCTTAGGGAAACAGCTGGAGGGAGGCGCAGGCAGCCCAGGAGGCCCAGCAGCAGTTGGCATTGGTGCAGTCTGAGGTGCAGCGATTGGAAGGAGAGCTGGACACGGCCCGGAGAGAGCGAGATGCCCTGCAACTGGAGATGAGCTTGGTACAGGTCAGGACAGGGTTCTTTTTTTTTTTGGAGAGGTTTTTGCTATAGGGTGCGTGCACTCGCCAGACAGAGACAGAGAGATAGAAAGCGAGAAATCACCCTGCAGGGGGGATGGCCATGCCACAATTCCTTCTCCTCCATTCTCCTCTCGGGATCTTGGGCATGCACACACACGCGCCCAGCGTGAGTCTCAAGCCACCGGGTCCAGGACGCGAACCGCGGTCCACTACGTGGGAGTCCAACGACATAGCCATTATGCTAACTGCTGGTGCCAGGACAGGGTTCTTGAGTCTTGCTGTGGTAGACAGAAGTAAGCCTGAGGCAGAGATCTCTTGGGAGTCACAGCAGGACACCAACTGCTGGTCCCAAGTAATATCATCTTAAACTCAGAACCAATTCTCACTAAATACCTGGACTCTCATGTAGTGTTACTTTCTAGAAGTAAATAGATTTAAATCTATTATAAACATCTTATTTATTTATTTATTTGAATTGCTAGAGGGCATGTGCACTGACTAGAGAGAAAGAAAGGGAGAAAGCACCTCCCTGAAGGGTGCTATTGTCACTCTGCAACCCATTTTTTTTTTTTTTAGAGGTTTTTGCTATAGGGCACATGCGCTCACCAGAAAGACAGAGAGAGATAGAAAGCGAGAAATCACCCTGCAGGGGGGATGGCCATGCCACAATTCCTTCTCCTCCATTCTCCTCTTGGCACGCAGACACATGCACCTGTTGTGAGTTTAAGCCACCAGGTCTGGGACTCGAACCACTGTTGACTACATGAGAGTCCAGCGGTGTAGCCATTACGCCAACTGCTGGTCGTTGCAATCCATTTTTATCCATTTTTCCATGTTGTCGGGATTTGGGGTGCACATGCATGTATTTTTTAAAATTTTAATGTATTATTATTATTATTTTAATTTGCTATGGGGCACGTGTGCTTGCCAGAGAGAGACAGAGAGAGGGGAAAGTGAGACTCAAGCTATCAGTTCTGAGACTTAAACCACAGTTGGGCACGTGGTAGTTCAGCGCCCTAACCACAACATTGCCTGCTGGCCCCTTTGGTATTTTCTTTAAAATAATTATTTACTTACTTATTATTATTATTATCATTATTTAATTTGCTATAGGGCACACATGCTCACCAGAGACAGAGAGAGAGAGCAAGTGAAAAAGCAAGTCTCCAGGTCCTGGACTTGAACTACGATCAGCCATGTGGGAGTCCAGCATGCTAACCACCACACCACCTGCTGGTCACCCCTGGCATGTTTTTTAAGCCACCAGGGCCAGAACTTGAACTGTGTTCAGCTGGTTAACCCAGCTCCTTTAAACACTAGACTATAAGCCTGGCCCCTGCTATGTTATTTTAAAAGAATAGTAGCTAGTAGGTTGACTGTATGAGTGAAAGCTTTTGTCAGAGACCTAATTCCAGTCATAACCATCTGTTTGGTAATTTTCCTTGCTTGAATAACATGGACTAATCCCTCTGAATAGGACACAGATCCAGGAGGGCAATGACTGTTTTGTTTACTTATAAAATTCCCATAATTGCACATGGCCTGGCACAGAATAGTATTAAAAGTTATTTTTCTATTATCATTAGACTTCGAAAAATGCTTTTCTTATAGCTGTACATTAAATCATTTTTTTTTTTTTTTTTTTTTTAGGGTTTTGCCATAGGGCATATGCACTAGCCAGAGAGAGACAAAAAGAGAAGGAAGGTGAGAAATCACCTTCCAAGGGGATGGCCATGCCATAGTCCCTTCTCTCCCATTTTCTTGCTGGGATTTTGGGTGTGCACGCAGACACACCACGCATGATCTTCAAGCCACCAGGTCAAGGACTCAGACCGTGGTCAGCCATGTGGGATTCCAGCGCCTTAATCACCCTGCCACCTGCTGGCCCCTGAATCTTAATTTTTACTTTATTTATTTTTAAAGAATTATTTATTTAATTTTATTTGTTATTACTATTATTTTTTAAATTTTGCCAGAGAAAGAGAAAGTCAGAAAGTAAGCCACAAGATTTGGGACTCAAACCATAGTTAACCATGTGGGAGTTCAGCACCCTAACCACCATGCCATCTGCCAGCCCTTGAATCTTAAATTTTAGTTAGACCCTTGCTTTGGAATAGAATGGGGTTAACAAACTTTCTGTAAAGGGCCAGACGGTAAATATTTCTGTCTTTGTGGGTATTTTGGTCTCAGTTGCAAATACTTAACTCTGCTGTTATATCTCAAAAGTAGCTATAGATGGTATGTAAACAGTTGGGCATGCTGTGTTCTAATAAAACTTTATTTACAAAAACAGGCAGAGGAAGGCTGGATCGGGATATAGTTTACTGATCACTGGGATGGAGGAAAAGGCAGGAGAGGACTGTGTCCTAGCTCATGAGAGCTAAGGAAAAAATGGCTTTAGAAGAAAGAATTGGGGGGTCAGCAGATAGCATGGAGGTTAAGATGCTAGATCCCATATGGCCTTCTTCGTGGTTTGAGTCCAGACCTGGGGGCTTGAAAATCACACTGGGTGCATGTACATATCCAAAATCCCAAGAGACTGGAGAAGGGATTGCAGCATGCCTTCCCTGGGAGGTGGGAGGTGATTTCTCTCTCTCTCTCTCTCGTGAGAGCACATGCCCTATAGCAGTAAATAAATAAGTAGATAGAAAGAAGAAAGAATTGACCTCAGATGTCAGGTGTTGCAGTGAGCTCACATGAGATGACAGAAATAACCACTATGGAATTTAGATTAAGTTCCTTTCCGTGAAGTACTATTGGGTCATCAGAAAAGTCATGCCTTTTTTGGGGGGGAAATGCTTCTTAAGTAAATCACTTCCCTATAAATCCTCATCCCTGTTCCCTTCTCCTGGGGAGCCCATTCTAGGATCCCAGCTCTTCCTTACCACTTTCCTATGTGCTGGCCGGGCTGGTGACCGTGGCTGTCTGGCTCCCTGTTATAGTTTTTGCATGGAAAAATACATCATGACTTTTCTGATGACCCAATATACGTAAAAACCAGATTCCAGTGAGTCGAAGGAGGATCGTGAGGTGAGAACATGGAGACAACAGTTTAGACTTCACATGAGAAGGGGCACCATGCATGCCTGCTGGGTTTCAGGTCCGTGTTAGGCGTACTATGTGTGTCATCTCAGACACATAATGGACTTGATTGTCCTTCCTAACTTTTTTTTTTTTTTTGGTTAAAAGATGTATTTCTGTTTCCCAGTCATTTCGCTTTTGTGTATGTTTAAGATGTGAGTTTAATCATGGTTTAATAAGGAAAGGGAGTCCCTCATTCCTTGTGAAATCCTCGTCCTTCATCCCTTAGGCATATGAGGAGGAATGTTGGCACTGGCTTCATCTACATCCTCCTTCCAATTCTAAGCCCAAACAGGGTTGAGCTGACTGTCATCCCACCCTCCTTCGCTGCCAGGCCCGGTATGAGAGCCAGCGGATCCAGATGGAGTCGGAGCTGGCTGTGCAGCTGGAGCAGCGGGTGACAGAGCGGCTGGGGCAGGGTCAGGAGAGCAGCCTCCGGCAAGCAGCCTCCCTGAGGGAACATCACAGGTACTCGGGTCTCACTGGACGCTGCTTCTGCACAGCCACAGCGGGGACTGCTAGTGCCCTCCAATGTCCTCTGGCTCCCTTTACCATTTTCCAACACGCCGGCTCCCAGCATACCTTCACTCTCAAAAGCCAGACCAGAGTCTGTCCTGGGAGGGCTGCCTTCGGTGTACGTGGAGAGCCTGGCGCTGGGAGTTTTCCTTCCATAGGGAGTAACCCTAAACCAAGAACTGATGGGCTCAGGGCTGTGGCTCTTCCAGCTCCCCTCCCGGGACAGTGCCGAGGCGTGACCTGTGAGATGGAGCTTCTAGTTCAGTCCCACTTCTCCTCACCCCCCTGCCCCTGCCAATTTGTTCTGGAAATGCTTCTGAAATAAATCACTTCCTTGTAAATCCTCATCTCCATTCTCTGCTCCTGGGGTGCCCATCCTAGGAGCCCAGCTCATCCTTACTGCTTTCCTGTGTGGTGGCCAGGGTGGTGACTGTGGCCATCTGGCTCCCTGTCATTTGCACACATTCTGTCCTCTTCTCACTTGGTCACTACTTCTGCCTCCAGTCTCAGTCCTCTTGCTCACCCGTGCCTTCTTAGGAAGCAGCTTCAGGACCTGAGCGGACAGCACCAGCAGGAACTGGCCGCTCAGTTGGCTCAGTTCAAGGTAGAAATGGCAGAGCGAGAGGAGCGGCAGCAGCAGGTGACTCAGGACTATGAGCTCAGGTATGGTCCCTGGAGAAACCCGCGTAGGCCCGTGCTCCTTTCCTGTGGTAGAGCTGTCCCTTCAGCAGATCTGTCCTCTTCTAAATGGACCTGGCCCCTTTCAGAATGTCAGATGTGACCTTCCTTTCTGGCTCTTATTCTCCAAGTCTGTGTCCTTAAAGGCCCAGAGTCACCTGATCCCTCTTTCCTTCAGACTGGCCCGGGAGCAAGCGCGAGTGCGGGAACTGCAGAGCGGGAGCCAGCAGCTGGAGGAGCAGCGGGTGGAGCTGGTGGAACGGCTCCAAGCCATGCTGCAGGCCCACTGGGATGAGGCCAACCAGCTGCTCAACGCCACCCTCCCGCCTCCCAACCCTGCGGTAGGCATTGCCCCTGAGCCGAGCCTTCAGTCAGTGGTCGTGTTCCACGGTCCACCTTTGAAAGTCTAGCTCCCTCCCAGGGGAAGTCCAAAGTTCAGTTTGTAGAACCTACATTAGGGAAGACAGTCTGTGGGCTTTCTTAAATAGCTGTTTCACCAAAATACATCTTTTTTGCTATGGCCGTAGTCCACCCAGTCTGGCTTCATTCCATTGGGCAGAACCTTTTTCTTCCCGGCCAAAAGGTGGTGAATTATATGTGCTATCAGTTTTGCAAAATGAAAGCAGAATTAATTAGGGGGGAAAGGACCAATCATTGCTGCTAAGTCTTCCCCTAGAGTCAAGCAGAGAGTCATCCATCCCCAACCTTCCTTATGCTGGTATCTCCTACTTCCATCTTTTCTATGGAAGTTTTATTTTTTTAAAGAATTATTTTATTTGACTTTATTTTAATTTGACCAGAGAGGGACATATTTTAATTTGACCAGAGAGGGACATAGTGAGAAAGAGAGAGAGGGGAAAGTGAGAAAGCAAGCCACCAGGTCTGGGACTAGAACTGTGGTTGGCTTTGTGGGAGTCCAACACCCCTAGCCACCACACCACCTGTGGCCCCAGAAGTTTTATTAGCTAAAATATTTTTTGCAATAGATAATAATGTGCACACATTAAAATTTAAAAATCCAACCTGTTCAAAAGGTATGCAGTGAAATGTAACCTCCATTCAGTTCCTGCACCTCAGTCTCCTAGTTCCTTTCCCCAGAATTAGTCCTGAGGGTCTCCCCTCTTTTCCCTCCATACCCCTCTCTCCACTCCTCATACCAAAGAGTTGCCTTCTATAAGCTGTTTTATAACCTTTTATTCAACCAGGTGCTTTTTTTTTGGAGGGGGGAGGTTTTTGCTGTAGGGCGCGTGGGCTCACCAGAAAGAGAGAGACAGAAAGCGAGAAATCACCCCCCAGGGGGCATGGCCACGCCGCAATCCCTTCTCCTCCATTCTCCTCTCAGGATCTTGGGCACGCACGCACAAGCGCCCGGCGTGAGTTTAATCCGCCAGGTCTGGTACTCAAATCGAGGTCTACTACTTTGCTGGGAGTCCAGCAAAGTAGCCATTATGCCATCTGCTGGTCCCTAACCAAATGTTTTTGATGGATATAATAGTTGTTTTCTATATTTCAAATCTGCAATGAATATCATTAAAATACATACTTTGTGTATAAAATGCTTAAGTCCTAACACAAATGATAAAATTCCTAGAAATAGAATTGTAACATTATAAATAAGCAGTTTTAAAATGTGATCGAAATTGGGAATCAGCAGTTAGTGTAATGGCTATGTCGCTGGACTCCCACATGGTCGACCACGGTTCGCGTCCCGGACCTGGTGGCTTAAAACTCACGCCGGGCACATGTGTGTGCGTGCCCAAGATCCCAAGAGGAGAATAGAGGAGAAGGGATTGTGGCGTGACCATCCCCCCGGGGAGTGATTTCTCGCTTTCTGTCTCTATGTCTCTCTCTGTCTGTCTGGCGAGCGCATGCGCCCTATAGCGAAAAAACCTCTCAAAAAAAAAATAAATAAATAAAAAATAAAATGTGATTGAAATGGATATATCTTACCAAATCTTCTTTTATTTTAATATATTTTATTTACATTCATTCACTATACATCATTACAGCATACAAAATGAGATTTTCCATCCAGAGTACACTGTATATTGTCTGAATCAAGCACATCAACATACATGTTATTGTCAACAGAAACTTCGGTTAAGATAAGTTACGGGAACCAGCATTTAGCGTAATGGCTATGTCGCTGGACTCCCACATAGTCGACCGCGGTTCGTGTCCCGGACCCAGTGGCTTAAAACTCACGCCGGGCACATGTGTGTGCGTGCCCAAGATCCCAAGAGGAGAATAGAGGAGAAGGGATTGTGGCGTGACCATCCCCCCGGGGAGTGATTTCTCGCTTTCTGTCTCTATGTCTCTCTCTGTCTGTCTGGCGAGCGCACGCGCCCTATAGTGAAAAAAAACCCTCCCAAAAAAAAAAAAAAAAAAAAGATAAGTTACTAGAACTTCCTTAAAAGAAGATTTGGTCATACTTAGCTTAATTAAGACCAAATCTTTTTTTAAGGAAGTTCTAGTAACTTAGCATCTTAACCGAAGTTTCTGTACTATGTCTTGTCTCTAAACCTGCTGGGCCTTGATCCTCCTTTCTGCTTCTCTTGGCCAGGTTCCTCCCATTGGCCCCTCTAGCCTTGGGCCTCTAGAGCCAGAGAAGGAGGAGAGGAAGATCTGGGCCATGCCTCCTGTGGCTGTGGCCCTAAAGCCTGTGTTGCAGCAGAGTCGGGAAGCAAGGGACGAGCTGCCTGGGGGGCCCCCTGATCTCTGCGGCTCCTCCCCAGACCTTAGCCTCCTTCTGGGCCCCACTTTCCAGAGCCAGCATTCCTTCCAGCCCCTGGAGCCAAAGCCAGATCTCACTCCACCCACAGGTAACAGACCGAAGTCACTGGGTTCTTTTACATGCACGAATTGGCCCTCTTACCTGGCCTCCTTTCTGAACGGGACTTGGACATTTAGTCTCTCAGATGTCTTAGTGGTCTTTTTTCTTTTCCTTTTCTCGCCTCTCCTCTTCTCTTTTCTTCTTTTCTTTTTTAAATTTGCTATAGGGTGCTTGCCAGAGAGAGAGAAAATAAGAAAGCACCCCCCAGAGGGATGGCTACACCATAATCCCTTCTCTTCCATTTTTCTGGGATGTTGGGCATGCATGCACAAGTGCCTGGGGTGATTTTCACCCACCACGCCACCTGCTGGAGCAGTGGCAAGGAGCAGAAATTTGTTTTTCTTGTTTAACATAAAGGGAGTGAGAGCTCATGGAAATACGATGTGGCTGGACTTGATGAGAACCAGAGCTGGGAGAGGGGTACCCTTAGGACCAGAGGCACAAGGCAGCAGCCCCTTCTCTCAGGCCTGCCTGTCTCTTGACTCTGTCCCACCCCACGCACCTGCTCCGTCTCCTGTTAAACCAGCATTCTCTCTTACACTCCTAAGGTTCTTGCCCCTTAGCACTCTGGCTTGTCCTGCGATACTGTGGCACTGAGTTTAGCCAAGACTCCAGGCGTTTATAGAGACAGAGGCATCTCAGTTCCTTAGGCTGTCCAATGGTTTTTCTTTTTTTTTTTTGGAGAGGTTTTCACTATAGGGTGCGTGCGCTTGCCAGACAGAGAGAGACAGAGACAGAAAGTGAGAAATCACCCCCCAGGGGGGATGGCCACGCTGCAATCCCTTCTCCTCCATTCTCCTCCTGGGGTCTTAGGCACGTACGCACACACGCCCAGCGTTAAGTTTTAAGCCACTGGGTCCGGGACACGAACTGCAGTCGACTACGTGGGAGTCCAGCGACATAGCCTTTATGCTAACTGCTGGTTCCCTCCAATGGGTTTTAAGCATCCAGGGGATTGGCTGACCTTGGCCATAGTGTCTCCCTCTGGTTTAGTCAGCTGTGACTTGGGTGGAGCCAGGCAGTACGACAACCTAGGTCAGTGTAGGAGTGAGGGGCAGGGCAGCCCCATGTGCTAGTGGTTAAGGAAGCCAGATCCCACAGGGATGACCACAGGGTTTGACTCTCGTTTGACTCCAGTGGCTCGAAAAACATGCCAGGTGTGTATGAGTGTGTGCCCCAAATCCCAGCGCGATGGAGAAATAGAGGAGAAAGGATTGCAGCATGACCATGCCCCTGGGGGGGTGAGTTTCTCCCTGTCCCTCCTCCTGTCTGTTTCTCTCTGGTGAATATACATGCCCTCTGGCAGTTAATTAAAATTAAAAGAACGAGGGATGAATCATTACAATTTAAAATTTTTCAATTATGTAATAACAAAAGAATTGGGGCATATCCTGGTAAAGAGGCCAGACATATCTTTGGGGTTTTTTTTAGTGATTTTTGCTATAGGGCCTGTGCGCTCACCAGAAAGACAGAGAGACAGAAAGTGAGAAATCACCCCTCAGGCGGGATGACCACGCCACAATCTCTCCTCCTTTTCCTCCTCTTCTCCTCTCAGAACTTTGGGCAGGAGCACACATGAGCCCGGTGTGTTTTACGCTGCCAGGTCTGAGACTCAAACTGCAGTTGACAACGTGGGAACCCAGAAACATAACCATTATACCATCTGCTGGTCCTGTATCTTTTTTAAAATGTTGCTTATTTTCACTATTATTATTACAAATTTGCTGTAGGACTCATATGCTCACCAGAGAGGGAAGGGAGACAGAGAAGGAAAGTGAGAAAGTAAGCCACCAGGTCTGGGACTTGAGCCATGGTCAGCCATGTGGGAGTCCAGTGCCTCACCACCATGCCATCTGCCAGCCCCATAGGCCAGCCATATCTTACTCATTTCTGCTTGTGGTGGTCTTTACTTATTTAAGGTTTAAGTTACCACAGCTGCTTCTGCCGCCTACGTTTCTTAGAATCCAGGTTGCCTTCAACTCTACCTCCTGCAGCTCTTTGAAACTCCTGTGGTCATCTTCTCCTAGCTGGGAAGCCCCTCTTAAATGTGATAGGCCCCTTTTCTTCTCTTTTTTCTTTTTTCTTTTCTTTTCTTTTCTTTTTTTTTTGAGAGGTTTTTGCTATAGGGCGCATGCGCTCTCCAGAAAGTCAGAACACCATTGAGAGACAGTGAGAAATCACCTGGCAGGGGGGATGGCCACGCTGCAGTCCCTTTTCCATTCTCCTCTCAGGATCTTGGGCACACATGCACACGTGCCCAGTGTGAGCTTAAGCCACTGGGTCTGGGACTTGACTCGAGGTTGACTACGTGGGAGTCCAGTGATGTAGTGATGCCATTATGCCATCTGCTGGTCTCAGTAGGCCCCTTTCTTCTGCGTGTTTGGGGAGTTGACTTGTGGAGGTACTCATTGCTTCCCCCACAGCTCTGTACCCACACCACCAATTTGCTTTACAGCCGAAGCCTTTTCCTCTGCGCTTGGGACCTTCCATCCCGATCACAGGGCAGAACGGCCATTCCCTGAGGAAGGTCCTGGATCCGATGGGGATGGCTTCCTGAAGCAGGGGCTGCCGCCGGCCTCTCAGTTGGAGGGCCTCAAGAATTTTCTGCACCAGGTAAGAGGTAATCCATCCAGACCACCTTATCTTCTTTTTCCCTTCCTCATTTCTTCTTTTTACTCCAGGAACCCAGGACTCTAGCTTCATTTCCTCTTTAGGACAAAGGCTCTGTGCCAATGTCTGCTCTCTGTCTGCTTTACTCCTAGTTCGTATCTCCTTTCTGGAATGTAGGCCACTAACCTCGCTCTTGCTTCACCAGCCTCTGCTTCCTCAGATACCTAGATCCTTTTCTTATCAGTCCTCTGGGGATCTTTGCCATCTCCCCCAACAGCTGCTGGAGACAGTACCCCAGAACAATGAGAACCCCTCTGTTGACCTGTTGCCCCCTAAGTCTGGTGAGTCCAACACTGAAGAAATGGCTGGGGCTGGGATGGATGGGAGATGATGATCTAGCAAGATTTCAGGAGTTGGCCAGGGTGACCAAAGTCTCAGAGGTAGGACAGCCTGGCTCTTGGCCCATTTCCTGATTCTCGGATCTCTCCTTTTGCTAGATCCTCTGACTGTCCCAACTTGGGAGGAAGCCCCTCAAGTGCCACGCCTTCCACCCCCCGTCCATAAAACTAAAGTTCCCTTAGCCATGGCGTCTAGTCTGTTCCGGGTCCATGAGCCTCCCTCATCCCATTCACAAAGCAGTGGTCCCAGTAGTGGCTCCCCAGAGAGAGGTAAGCAGGTGGTGTTCACAGGGTGAGACGGAGGGAAGGAAGGTGCTGACAGTGGGTCTGGCACTTGGAACCTGAGGCCCGCCTGGATTCCCCGGGAGCCGGGCTGAGGTCTAAGGAGCGGGAGTGGGATGAGGACCCTTCCCGATGTCCTGTCTCTCAGGTGCGGATGGGCAGCCGAGGGAGGTGTCTCAGCTGCTACGACTGTACCAGGCTCGGGGCTGGGGGGCTCTGCCTGCCGAGGATCTGCTGCTCTACCTGAAGAGATTGGAGCACAGCGGGTCAGCCTGGGCGGGGAGGATGGAACCCGGATAACGGGAAATGATCAGGCGGGGAGGAGTGGGGCGTGTATTGTGGACAATGAGAAGTGTCTTCATCCTTTTCTGGCAAGGAAAATGAGGGATGCAGTGAAAACTCTCTTACTGATAACCCCCCCCCCTTTTTTTTTTTCCTAAGGTCCCTTTTTTCCTCTTTTTTAACTTT